GGGAGTTGGCAATATAGGAATGGACATTTCCATGACCAATAGTGTGTCTGTGGAAGTCGTGACTGGCGAGGGATAATGAAAGACAAATATGTTCAAGAAAGCGTGTTGAGAAAGAATCAGTACATTCAAGCATAGTGTAAGAGCACTGAAGCTCGATGTGCTCTTATAAACAGTATCAAAACATTTGGGTAGTGTTTGTTTTTTTGTCTGCAGATTTGCGTGACCTCTTCTGTCTGCGCCGTGCAGACCACGCACAGACACTAGCCTTCGCAGACTGTTTGTTTTTTTGAAGACTGCACACCTAAAAATGTCTGCGCGCCCTCTTCTTGGCGCAGATGTGGACCTGAGTCTTCTAACATCTTCAGACATCTTCTAGTCTAAAAAAACATATATATCTTTATTTTTTAAATTCTTTTTTAATTTATATTTTTTCCAACTATATTAATGATAAACAATTTGAAAAAAAAATTACAAAACTTCAAAAAAACGTTCGATGATACAAACATGATATTTTTGACAAATTTATAAATAAAGATTTATTACAATAATAGTCGTTGAAGTTGTTTATATAAATATGAAAAAAAAATCATAATATATTCTTATATTTTTTGCCGAATTTTGTAAAACATTATTTAATATTGTATCGTCAATTTCTCGAGAAAATATTTATATTGCGTTTTTAATGGATTTAATTAAAAAAATTGAAGTTTATTTCTATCAATTTATGTATTAAATTCTTTGATCACTAATTATAATATTTAGTTATAACTTTGCAACCAAAGTTGTTGGTTTTTATCAAATATACGTTAATTTATACCATTTTTATTTTTATTTTTATACAATAATACATAAAAGTTGATCTAAATTCGTTAATTATTTATAACAAAGTCATAAAAATATTAAAAAATCACTTTGAAATTAAAAAAAATCAGTTTATTTAGATTTCAGTTTATTTTAGTAGCCCGTAGATGTTAAAAAACAAACAGTCTTCTTTTTTCAGACTGCAGACGTTTGGTCCACCTCTTCTACTACAGATATCTACGGATGTGGTCCGCAGACTGCAGACATTTTGCCTCAGAAAAAATAAACAACACCTTGGTAAATGTTAATGTTTACAATTCAACTTTTAAAGAATGGTCCCTGTGGTATGCCAAAACTAGCATGTTTGGGCCAATACAGTTTGGGCTAGCATAAATGGTCTAAAAGTTTCATTTTCTTCCGAGTTTGGTCCAATTTTGTTTACACTTTTTTGTAAAGACGATTTTGCCCCTGTTATTTAATTTTTCATTTTTGTTTTATTACCAACAATTAAAAAATATTTAAAATAAAATACTCTCTCTCTCTCTCCCTCCCCCTCTCTCTATCCTATAAAAATCGAGTAAACTCAACTCCATTTAAGAATCAGAAAGAGAAGTGAAGACCCATTCAAGTGAGGAAAGATCAAGAAGACTAGAAGGGCGTGTCTTTTCTAGGTTTATGTGTGTGAATTGATTTGTGTATTCATATTTGATCTTTCTTGTGGTTATCGATCCAATGTCTCCACCCTCCTAACATCAACCGCCACTGCTACCTCAACCATAAAGCTCTCAAAGAAACAAACCCCTAAGCGAACATCAACCAAAGATCGAAGATCACCCCACTTCACCTCTGCAAACCACACATCGACGAACAAGAAAACAATCAATTCGTATCTCATTCTCCGACGACTTCACTGTTTAAAACCCTAGCGTTCATCGGAATGATGGAGACAGTTGACTGCTAGGATTTTCGGCTACTGATTGCTAGGCGGCGGTGGTTGGAGAAGCACTTTTGTTCTTGAAACTGTGTGAAAGGGAAAGAAAGGTGCAGACATCGGTTCTTATTTTGAAGGGTAAAGTTGTTTATATGCGATGATGTAAGCATTAACGGGAGGCCTCATGTTTATAGAGGGAGGAGCAAATCAAAAGTCAAGGTCATTGGCCAGTTGCTCAAGTAGCCATGACCTGAGCCTGAAGGTGAGAAATGACCGGAGATGAAGAAGCAGTGATGGTAGTGGGGGTGTTGATAGATTCTCTGCTCCATTTGTGTGTGTAAACCAGACTTGAGATCCGCCCCTGGTCCATTTGAGAAGGAGAGTTGATTGCATCGATCTGAGAGTGTTTTTGGATATAATCTTGATTCAAATATATTTTGTTCTTCAACGCACATACAGTTATCGAAGGATAAATTGAATGATTTTGATTTTCGTTTCTAGAACTCAAGAACAAACCCAAATATCTAGGGACAAACTCAAGAACAAACCCATATTTTGTGAGTGATTCTCATTTCCAAATCGATTTCAAGGAATATTCTTGAGTGTGTATGTGTTTATAATATAACGTTTATATGTGCTCTTGAGTGTGTGTATTTTGAAGAACAAAGCCATAAAAGTTAAAGTGTGTGTGTGTTTTTTTTTCATAAATATGTGTGTTCTTGAGTTTTGAAGAACAAACCCATAGAGAGAGAGAGAGAAGGGGGAGAGAGAGAGAGAGTATTTTATTTTTGTTTTATTTTTAAATGTTTTCTAATTGTTGGTAATAAAACAAAAATGAAAAATTAAATAACAAGGGCAAAATCGTCTTTACAAAAAAGTGTAAATAAAATTGGACCAAACTCGCAAGAAAATGAAACTTTTGGACCATTTATGCTAGCCCAAACCGTTTTAGCCCAAACATGCTAGTTTTAGCATACCACAGGGACCATTCTTGCAATTTTGTCTTTAAAGTTTAGGTTTTTGCACCAAGTTATTAACATTTTAGCAAGGGAGTTCTAAATGTTTATATTTTCAGACCTCAAGTTTGATACACTTATCAATTTTAGCCCCTCTTAATTTATTTTCTATTTGTAAGTCCCAATTGACTGTTTTCTTTCAATATTCCATCTATATTATTTTATTTACTATTATATATATATATATATATATATATATATATATATATATATATATATATATATATATATCTTTACTACTTATAAAAGAAATCTAATTATTTCTATAAATAGATTGAATATAATAATATTATTTTTTAAGACGTCCAAACTATTAAGCTTGAAGTACAACCCATTTATAATATAATAATATTAAAACTTTAACCCTATCCTTTATCCCCTAAAAATCTCGTATCAAATTAATAGAAAAATTAATTTGCAAATTGAACCCGTCAATCTCAACACTTCAGCCATTTGAAGCGGTCAATGTCAACAATTTATAGAGGATCTTTTTTCTCACATTGGTAACAAGCCATCTCATAATATTTATCTTCATAATCCCTTCAAAGTAAGAAATATACGCACACTCTCTCGAAGAACCCTAACCAGTAACCAAGACAGTATAACCACCACCACCACAGCCGCTCTGCCTCCTTCCACCTTCAACCAACCACTATCACGACTACCGGCATTCCTCTCACCCACGGCATGAACTTTCTTTTGGAACATAACATTTTTCTTTATAAAAATATCGTTGAAAGAAGCTATTTGTCCCCGCTGCTGTGCGCGGGTAACGGCTAGTATATATATATATATATATATATATATATATATATATATATATATATATATATATATATATATTATTAATTTATCAATTATTTTCTTTATGTTCAATAACTTTTATTTTGACTAAAAGAATCCCAAAATTTTTATCCCCATTATGAAATTTCATTGAAAACAGGATAGGATTTGTTCCTTGTCAACACAAAACAAGAAGAAATAAGTTAGTAACTTTATGTTTTGAAATTGAATTTAAATGACACCGATGTACTTAATAGAGACATATACCATATATCATTTTGGTTTCCAAGTGTTGATTCAATAGTTTGAATGGTTCACATTTGAAACACCATTTTTAACAAAAATGTTAGAGTCAATGAACAATGATCGCGCTTTGGATTAGAGATTCTAGGGTTAATGAGGAGATTGAAGATGAAAAGACAACTCAAAAATAGGGATTATATATATGCGATTGTAGGTAGAATCTATTTCTATTATGAAGTTAAATGTTAGAGAGTTGATACATATATTAAAGGGATAATGACTTGAAAGGGTAACCAATTATACATTTTTTACATATTTGGTCACTTAACTTTTTTTAGTACACTATTAACCCTTAAACTTGTTTTATTGTTTAAAATATACCATTATTACCTGTAATAGCAGGTAAAACCTGTTTAGGGGTTTGAGATGCACCTCCATCGACAATTTCCGGCACATTCAAGCTCCAACGATATCCCATGTCATCTTCTTCGGCGTCACCCCCAAGAGTTCTACCAACCTCTTCGTCAACATTACCGCCATTGCACATGATTCTATTCCAGGAAGATGGGCATCCACTGAAATCGATTGACTCTTCATTCCAAGAATTAAAAACAATCCTAGTTTCATGGTTGATTTCTTATTTAAACTCCGGTAATGCTAAACTAGGAAGCTGATTCATAGCAAAAAAGCCCCAAATGCATCGTTGATTTCAATTTAAGTGTTCTTCCTGATGATTTGCTAAAACGATTTCGACAAAATATCACCGAAATCTATTTCAGAAAAATCCTTTGTTGCTGAAATCGATTTCAAATAATTTGAGTTTTCAAGATTTCAAACCCACCAAAACCCTTTGTTTCTATGGGGAAGGAGGATGATATGAGAGTTGTGTCGTAGGAGAGGAGGCACCGATGGGGATGCGTGGGTGCTTCATCGATGGAAGGTAGAAGAGGGTTTTTCTCAGTTAAGATGGGTTTGGAGGCTAGATATCCAGAAGGCAAAAGGTTTGACTTAAATAAAACTATAGTGTGTTGATGTGGGTTGTCGGAGGTGGTCTGGGTGAGGATACGGTGGCAGAGCAAGCGTGAGCACAATCGTTGTTTCCTCTCTGTGGTTTCAGCAGTTTCAAACCTGGATATAGCAGACATATTCGAAGATTAGACCTAATGTCGGAGTTAGATGCAAACCAAAATTTGCTAGATGGGAGAAGAACCTGAAATTCGACAATAATGGCTCGATTTTGGACCGTGATTCAGAAGATTTATGTTGGGATCCATATGCTACAAATGAAAACGACGATCTCGGTAATCACGTAAATGGAAGGTAGGTTGTTCTTGGTGATTGCTTAGATGAAGAATCGAAATCATGGGGTCGATGTGTGGGGTTTCTAAATTAGGGATGGCGGTTGGTTGAACTCTTGGTGAGGCCGGAGAAGATACTGGAAAACTCATGTTTGGCCGGAACAACGCTGGAATCGGAAAAACCTACTATAACCAGTCATAATGGTATAATGCGAACATTTCAACGAGTTCAAGGGTTCATAAATCACGAAAAATAATTTAGTGGGCAAATGTAATCAAAATATAAAATACGTTACCTTCTAAGGTCATTATCCCTATATTAAATGACAAAATTAACCTCATGAAAGAGGCACGTGGGAAGATATTGACAAAACCCCGGACCAAATTTGCAAAAAGAAGTAAAATAAAAGGTTAGAAGTAAATAAATATAAAGCAGCTTTCGCGGTTACAACTCTGTTCATAGGTTGTTGGAATTGTGTCGAGCGAAAGTGACGACAAAATGCATCACCGTGAAGCAGGGTGCCTGAAAGTCAAGTCTGAGTCCAAGACAAAATTTGAAGCGATAGAAATGGGTTCTTACAGCGTCTGCGTCCTTCCTCTATGATCGAATCGCACGTTGGAGCACCTCGTCCATGTAAAACTCTGCAACTCTCTACCAGCCCTTTAGGCTCGTCAAATTCCTACCGTCATATCCGTGTATGCTTATTCAGTTATTTGTTTGTGTACTTTGATTGTACCAATTTATCTGTCTACAAATACTTGTAAATGGAAACCCTAGGTCAAGTATCATAAACGACTTCCTGTTGTTGTAGTTCAGGGGTCAAAATGGAAATTTGTGTTGGCAAATCTGACTCTTTACTAGCCATTCGATCTTTGTGCATTCACATATCCAATCCCTGACTAAATATCTTCTTGAAAAGTTTTGCATGCTCGTTGAAAATTCCATCTCTTTTCTCTTTATGGATTTTACTTTGTATGCTGTTTTGTCTCAAATGCTTCATTCCTTAAATGATTCAAATATAGAGATTTTAGGAAATCAAAGACACAAAGAATATCAATTTATTTGGATGGTCAAAGTTAGCTCCAGCATCCAGGGCACCAATCATCTCCAGCTTTAGACTTAAGGATCTTTCTTGCACTACAAACTGGAATCTTGGAACTCCAAAAAGCATGGAATACTTTTCCACCGCTGTTATATCTCTCCTTACTGTATTGGGTGTTGTTTTTTATTATTTACAGAAACAACAGGAGGAAGATGATGGTGAGCAGAAGAAATCATCCCTGTCATCATCATCATCGGATCAACAACAATCCCTACCTGAAGAAGAACATGAAAAGAGGAAAGATTCATTCTCATCATGGTCACCAAGTAAACCATGTCGACGTTTTTCACTTGATGAAATCAAATTGGCAACCAATGATTTCGATGATGCGTTTGTAATCGGAAAGGGTGGATTCGGGAAGGTATATAAAGGTAAGATTGAGTTTGGTGAAGAAGGAATTGATGTTGCCATTAAGAGGTTGAATCTTGAACATTCGAGTCAAGGGGCAACCGAGTTCAAGGCAGAGATTGAGATGCTTTCCCAGTTTCGCCATAGTCACATCGTCTCTCTTTTAGGATACCATGAAGGATCCGATAAAAGAGAAATGATCATTGTTTATGAATACATGCCTAATGGAAGTCTTGAGGATCATTTGCACAAAAGAAAAGTTAACGGAAGTAATTCCTCTCTTCTGACATGGATCCAAAGGCTCCAAATCTGCATAGGTGCTGCTCGTGGTTTGGACTACCTCCATACAGGTACAAGTGTGCAATCAAGAGTCATACACTGTGATATCAAGAGCTCAAACATCTTGCTGGATGAGAATTTGGCAGCTAAGATTTCCGACTTTGGGTTGTCAAGGATTGGCCCAGCAAATCAGTCAGGCACTACTAATGTTTATACCGATTTCATAAAAGGCACGTTTGGGTACATGGATGCTGAGTATTTTGCAACTCACAGACTGACACGAAAGTCTGATGTGTATGCATTTGGTGTGGACTTATTGCAAGCGTTGTGTGGTAGGCCTGCTCTGGATTTCACATTAGATGAGGAGCAACACAGCTTGGCTGTATGGGCCAGAGACTGCATCGAAGAAGGTAAGATTGATCGAATCCTTGATCCCCGTGTGAGGGGTCAAACTACAGCGAGTTGTCTGAATGAATTTGCACAAATTGCATATGAATGTATGCTTAGTTCTTCAAAGAATCGACCCACAATGACTAAGGTAGTGGCTCGGCTAGAATTTGTGTTGGCATTGGGGTCACAAAAACATGGGGGAGTGACAATTGCTGAAAAGGTGTGGGCATTGTTCTCTATTCCAGGTAAACATGAACTCTTAGAAACTTAATTGTTAGACAAACCCATGGTTGTCCATTATATTGAATCCCATACAAGAAGTAAAACTATCTCAAATTACATGGATGACATGCTTCATGGATCCCACTTCTAACTATTTATGCATGTATATGTTTTCACATATCTATATATGTACATGCATGTAGACATCTATATTCACATGTATGCACGTATCTGTACCTGTATGCTATTCTGTTTTGACTAAGAAAGAATACTAAAATTCTTCAACAATGGTTGAAGAAGACAGCTACAGCACAATGAGTAATGATCTGAACTCATGAAATGCTACAAATCTTTTGACCCTATGTCCAAAACAACTACAAAGTTACAAAATATAAATACATATCGGAACCAAAACCGACCAACACAGCTGGATCTAAAGATTGTGTACCATGTAACACCCTTCCAGGAGGGATTAGCGAATACATAGTTTCCAGGCAAACAAAACCCCATAAATGTGTGACTAATATGCATGAGATGGTGTGTGAAGCAGGAATTCTCAATGCATGTCTTGACTTACATCTTGAGAATGCAATTCTTTAAACTTTCCCATTGAATTGACACCTTAGAAATAAGGGAAAATGACTTAAAAGCCCAATGAAGTTTTCAAACCATTCAAAAAACCTCAATCATGTTTTATCTGTTCAAAAAAACCCAACGAACTTAACCTTTTGTCTAAAAAGTCCAACAAAGTTCCAAACCGTTCAAAAAAAATCTTAATTTTGTTTTGTTTAAGTTCGTTGGGTTTTTTTTTTGAACAATCAAAACATGATTGGAGTAAAAAAAACATTTTGGAAACTTCGTTGTTCTAACAAGTCATTTTCCCGATACGGTAATAAGTCACGTCATATGTTTCTCTTATTTGACTTTCACGGAAAGTGTAACTTAGTTAGGCTTTTTTAGACAAAATGTTAAGTTCATTGGATTTTTTTGAACAAATAAAACATGATTGAGATTTTTTTAACGGTTTAAAAATTTCGTTGGGCTCGTAAGTCATTTTTCCTAGAAATAAAGTTTAGGCCACATGCACCTGAAGTTTGATGTCCCTATCCATTGATCTTACCAAGTAATCTTAACAAGCAGGATCTTGAACTTCTTCCCACATAGCCAAATTCAATTATAAGACCTTAGTATATTATCCATAATATCAGTATTTTGCAGGCATATGATACTTCTCCAAGCATGTGGTAATGTAGACTCCTTATATATTGTGAGCTCCCTTAATGTTGGGCTGGATGATTATTTTTGACCGAATAGTTAGTATATTTTCAAAGGGTGATTTTTGTTTGTGTTAAATCAATTTCACCAAGACCATAAGAGCCATGATTTATTGACTCTCATACGGATCACTCCTATAGCCCATACAGCTTTGTCCTTGGGAAGGCATAGATTTTTCCTAGCAACGAGCAAGGTTTTCCCTCTTCTTTGAATACCTTCCATAAAGTAAGTTGTCTCATCCTTTCAAGCTTGTTAATTACAGCTAGTGTACTTTGTTAGTGGACATATATTACACGAGAACTAGAAAGCACTATATCAATCAAGACGATTCTTTCTCATTTTTTAAAGTTTCTGCTTGTGAATACAGAATATAAAGAGGTCTTTCATTCTGTAGGCCTTCCTATTTTCTTTCTCGATTGACATTTAAAGGCTCCCTTATTTAGCTTAGGAGGGTCTTCCATTTTTTTTCCTATGAGGATTAAGCCTTCTTTGACTTTTTATTGAGTCAAGTCGAACGAACTATAGTGCCTATTTCCCCACAAGCATGCCATACAAAAAATCTTTCTATGCTAGTGTTTAAAAATATGTTTACACAACATTGGCTATTCTTATCACAATCCCCCGTATGCTTTGTCTTACATTTTTCTATCAACCAAATTTCTTCCCACTTAGTGAAAGTTTCCTTTCTTGGAGGAACTAGGCGGTCCTTGATATGAACCCATCCCATACTAGGTCCGTAGCAAGCCATTGCCCAAGTTTAGAACTCACTCCCAAAAGCCAGCTTGTAGGAGGAGGGAACACCTAAACTTATAAGCCACCAACTTAATTTACTTTTGGCCTATGTGGGATCGTAACAATACCCCACGCTTTGAAGAGTCAAAGTCCTCATTGGTCTTAGTTGGCACCCCTTTTCAGTCCAAGCCACCACTTCATAGGCCACCATAGTCATTGTTGGTCACAATTGGAACCCTTGTTTTCGAGTCCAAGCCAAGCCATAAACCTAAGTATAGAACTCACTCCTAAAAGCCAACTTGTTGGAGGAGGGGACAATTAGACTTATAAGTTTCCAACTTAATTTATTTTCAGCCGATGTGGGATCATAACAATCCTCTCCCTTTCACTTCTTACCCATAACATTTCTTTCCTCAACCTTAAGTGCAATAACATCCTCAACAATTGGTCACATCATGCTCACTAGTTGCTCTTCACCGCAAGATGATAGCGTGTAGGTAACCAACAACAAACTGGTTAATCGTGGATTTTATAGGAACCCCATGCCTAGCGAACTCCAACTTCTCAAATAATGCACATGCAAAGGATCGATGAACAAATCTCTCTATCCTAATGTGAGGAACTCCTCTTTCTTAAGGGCATCCCTATCATTGTAGTATATCTCTTCCAACTTGTCTTTGATGGCACTCCCTTGTCATGTTTCACCATGTCAAGGCTGGTTGAAAAACTTGACCGTTTGCGTCTCGTCACATTCATATAATTCAAACATCTACTCCATCTCCATAAGCCACTTCATGGTTACCCTAGGTCACCCTAGGTCAGAGCTTTCTTCGAATTTGGGTGGCCAACAACTCATAATATCCAAATGAGTAACCCTTCCCTATCATTGCATTTGACTTTCACTCCCTTTTATTGTGGTGTCTCCCTTGTCCCTTTGTTTGCATGGTGGTGGACATTCACATTGCTTGTCTCCCTACAGGTTACACACATCCTTATACTCTATGAACTTGTGGATAAGCTCATGATTATTTGTTTGATTTCCTCCCTAGTTAATCAAAGATCAGAGTCCCCTTCCATATTTGCTGCTCCATCCTCTTGAGGATGCACTCTCGCCTGACTTGGCTCTCATTATCGTCTAAAAGGCCCACATTCCCACTGCGAGTCCTTATCATACTTCCATGCTTGGTAATAATCCAATAATACCACTTAGCTAGCAAAGATAACAATTAAAATGTTAAAATCGGAATTATTCTTAAAGATAGCATGCATGCTGCGAGTCCTTACCATACTTCCGTAATTTTTAACTTTTTTAGAGACGAAGTGTCGATCAATCTCTATGTTTTGTAAGGTTGTGGTGACCTGAATTTTTTGCTATGTTAATAGTAGGCTGATTATCGGTAAACTTTTTTTTAGATTCTCCATTCTTCATTCCAAGGTCCTTAAGTCTGTATACACATTCCTTCACAAATTCCTAGTGCAAGAGCTTGATACTTGGATTCAACACTGCTGCAAGGCACGCGAAATTGTTTCTTGCTCCTTTATTTAACATAATTGATGCAGAGATAGGATCAGTAACCTGCAATCAATTTTCGGTTTGTATCTTTCTCATCCCATCTTGAATCAGTATAACTTGCTATCACATATTTCATTTATATTCCCATGCTGAGAGTCATCTTGATGAGGTACCTTAGAATGCGATTCACCGCATCTAAGTGACATCACAGATTTCAGTCCTTCTGCTACCAATGCTTATATAGTACACAATACTTATCATATTCGGGCATCATGAGTATCTTGTGACCTTCTTGACGAACCACAGAGAAGACTTCATGGGGAGTTGATAGGGGACTTATTCTCAACCGTATAAATCTTTACTGAAGGGCCCTCATCTCATCTCCCTTTCATGGTTAATACTGAAATAGTTCAAGTTGTCTTCCTAATTTATATTTTACATGGTAAAGTAGAAGTATCTCTTTCATTTTACTAATACAAAAATTGTTTGTTACTTTGTTTCATGTTTATCATTTTGAAATTCAACTTATATGTTCAAAGTAGCATCCTGTCTCAACTGGTTATGATGTGATGAATTCTTAGGAATCACCTCGAGTGTGAAATAGTAATGACCGTTATATAACGATATTTGTGGCTTCTGTTAATATCATTCCTCCAGTTCTATCTCTATTGTCTCTTTTTGTTTCATTATATTTATATAGTTTCATTTGGTTTCAGCAGTGCATGCTAAAAATTACAGAAGTAAACAAAAGTGGAGCAATGACAACAAAAGTAAACGGATCATACTAGGCAAAGCAATGACAGAAGAGAATAACAATGAAGGTAAAGATAACCGTATGACTTTAGTACATCCCACTAAGACAGCATCAGAAGGGAGCAATGAAAACATAAATAAAATGTGACAGTGTTGAAGGAACAGTCATCAAGTAGTCAGATGACGACACAGAAATTGACGATATTCAGATTAGATGAGTTGTGGAGAGCCACCGGAAAATTCTTGCCACCACCACTTCTTGGAGTTTCGGATCGTGTGTCAGTCTATAAAGGGTGGGTGACTAGTGCATCATACACACCATCAGCATTTGATGTCCCAGAAGCCATCGTGATCAATAATTTAAACACAAATGTTGCTAAAAATAGCCATAATTGGCAGGTTTGTTTGTCTTTTATAGCATATTATATATCAGTGTGACTTTTTTAGTGAGGTCTACAATCGAACCAAATTATTTGAACATATACATTATGCAAATTTACTAGTTTGAGTCTAGAGCCAATATGCTAGCCTTGATTATTCTGCCATTGATACAAAAGTATCATTGCTATATAATATATATATATATATATATATATATATATATATATATATATATATATATATATATTGATTTCTTCAATTGGATGTTGCAGAAGATGCAGACCCACTTCCATGGGACACAAGGATTAAAATAGCCTTGGGAGCAGCTCAAGGCCTTGCTTTCATGCACATGGAAACGTATATCATTTGCAGGGATGTGAGATCCTCAAACATTTTGTTAGACGGGGCAAGTAATTAAAAAACTAGATAAATTTACTCTAAAAAGGTGTCAATGATTACGATTGATGTTTTTGGATTTCAATATTTTAGTTTAAATCTTTAATATATCATAGCGATTTTTATATATACTGAATTATGTTTCAGGAGTTCAATGCAAAGATCACAGATTTTGAAGAGAGAGGGTTTAATCCGGTCAGTGGAGAGTCTCCTACATCATACAACGACGGTTATGTGGCTCCTGAGTATCTAGCCACTGGTTAGTTCTCTGATCAACTTGGTTTTAGACCTTAAATCATCAATTAGGGTTTCTCAATCTTGAGGGTTACATTGACAAAGGCTATGGTATTGCAACTAACTACAGGGTGGTTATATCTGAAGAGCGATGTTTATGGTTTTGGAGTGGTGATGCTAGAGATAGTTACAGGGTTACGTGCAGTTGGTTCTGGTAAGTATTATGATCAGCTACAGAGTTTGGTGGATTGGGCTAGACCTTACTTAACCAGTATAAAAAAACTACGAAAAATCATGGATCCACAGTTGAAACGAGTTTATCCATCGAAAGCTGCATTGAAAGTAGCTCAACTCATCATAGATTGTCTTCATCATGACACTGACTACCGGCCTTCAATGGAGAAAGTGGTGACATGGTTAGAGGAGATCAACTCAATTAAAATAATACCAGAGACATGTTAAAAGGATAACACATGGCACTCTCACTCGATGAGCCTGTACCATGAACATAAGTTTGGTGATAGATAAGCCATTAATTATAAAGGTTTCCTAATTTATATTTTGGTTATAGGATCAATTTTGCAATAAAATTGATATTTTTTTCAATTTTATTATTACAGATTGTGTATGTAATTGATTTTGATTAGGATGTTCTATATGCTTTTGTTAATATTACAATGTATTACTCATCTGTTTAACTAGGATACTTTTTTTTGGTTAAGATGAGGTGTTGGTCTAGATTTCACATTTTTTATTATGCATGATGGGTGAGAGTAAAAATTTGACATTTTATTTTGTATTATATGAAACTTTGGTTTAATTTGAATATTAGTAAATCTTCCAAAAAACTAAATATTTTTATAAAATGTGAAATCATGACATACGAATTGTCTGTCGTAAATTTACAGCCGATAAATATATGTCCTCTTTTGTTTATGACTGGCTTTCAACAACATATATTTATCTTTCATCTATACCCTTTGTGGTATGTCATTAAAGGCCTTTTTTCTTTTTCTAGTAGCGAGAATAGCGACAAATCTGAGAACAAATAGATCGTCGCTGATTATAATAGGTATATGAATTAAAAACATATATACAATTCTGAGAAAAATATCCATGATCTATACCTCTGTTTCTAGTAGTTAATCGAAGGTAGGGTTTACTGGGAAAAATACATTCTAATGGTTATTTATTTCGGTCATGTTTAATTTAATCTGTATGAGTGTTAGGTCTACCAATGAAGTTTGTTTGTTTGAGTGGGGTCGGTTTTGTGGTCACACTCATCAGCAATGGAAATAGGGTCTCCTTGACTTGGTGAACTCAGAAAATGTATGTGGTTCTTTTTTTTATTTAATTGTTGTGGGCACCACAAGTTCCAACCAAAGCTGACTAGCCAATCCTTATGCTTTCATATTTCCAATCCTTGACTTGGTATGCTCTTCAAAAGCTTTGCATATTCGTTGAATTTCCATCTCTTTGTTTCTTTCTTAATCTGTATTTCTGATGCTAGGTCTCAAATAGACCAAAGTGGAGCAATGATAAAAAAAAAAAAGTAAACAGACCATAGTAGACAAATTAGCTGCCGCAACAAAGATTCCTGTATCATTTTACTAGATCCCACTAAGCCAGAGCCAGAAGCAGAGGGGAGCAATATAAACATAAATAAAGGTCCTTTGAGCATTCAGATGGAGACACATAACTTGAAGATTTTCACATTTGATGAGTTGCGGAGAGCCACCCGGAATTTCCGGCCATCAGCCATGGTTGGAGTTTCAGATGGCGAGTCAATCTATAAAGGGTGGGTGGATAGGACATCATACAAACCATCAGTATCTGGAGTAGGGATAGCTGTCGCAATCAAGATTTTAAACACAAATAATGTTCAGAGTCTCAATGAGTGGCAGGTCTGTTTATCTATTATACCATCGACTTTGTTTCTTTTGGTTTGAATTTTCCAAACTTTTGAGTTTTGACTAGCTAACTTTCAGTGACTAGTCTATCCCTCTCTTTTCTTATGGGAGATATGTTAGAAAATCATTTTTTTTTTTTTTTTTTTTTTCGGGGAGAGGGGGGGGGGGGGGGGGTTCCATTGGTTGGAAAATACTGAGAGTAGTGATAACACTTTTAGATTAAAGTATTTCGATAGTACAACCACAAAGCGGTCATTTTCACAGAAGAGAAAAAACATGGTCATTTTTATTAACAACCTCCTTTGTTAGTTTGGTTAATATTCCATATAAAAAAATTTATTTTGGTTTATAGAAAGAGAGACATATTGTGTTATAAAATAAAATTTTATCATTAATGTATTAAACGATATACTGTGTTTGTGTATGCCAGGCAGAAGTGACTCGGGGAAGGTTTAGTCATCCCAATCTTGTTAAACTCTTAGGATATTGTTCAGAAGACGGAAAGCTGCTCCTTGTTCATGAATACATACCTAAAAGAAATTTCATAGACATTATTCGACGTAAGTATTCCTGCTGTTCCCAAAAACTAGACTCACACCTTTTGGCAGTAAACCAAAATTCCAGATTCAAGTTGCATATATTTTTTCCAAGTGAATTGGGTATCAAACATAGCATAACTTACAACTATGAGAGTAATTGTGTTTGTCTTGATTTATTTGGACATTCGCAGGCCATCCACTTCCATGGGATATAACAATGAAAATTGCCAATGGAGTAGCCAAAGGCCTTTCTTTCTTGCACACTCATGAGAGCTCCCCCACATTTAGGATTTTCAATGCTTCAAGTATTTTAGTGAATGAGGTATAATAATCATTGATCAAGTACATTTTTCTTAAGAAAGAAAGAAACAATATGCCACACTAAACACATAATCATAGTGGTAAAATAGCTACAAACTTGTGAACCACTATAATCATAGGGGTGCAAATAGATGCACATTTTAATCTAATTGGCCTTTTGAATCATCTTGATTTAGTCATTTTGGGATTTTGGTGTTAGAATCATGAAGCGCAGCTCTATTTTGGATGGGCATCGTTAGGCCAAATACATGGAGCATTGCCTATCTTAATGAGCAATGCACTCACCAGTCGTTACAACCCTGTTGAGTATATGGCTGCAGGTGAGTTTGGTGACTAGGGCTATATATTCCAAGTGGTTGTGCTATCTATTGTTGGTGTCTTAATTTTGTCTAGATTCTCTCATTTTCATAAGATTTGGATCGAAATATTTGAAAGTTGAGTGGCTTGCAACTACAGGTCACTGGTATATTGAAAGTGATGTCTATGCCTTTGGAGTGATGATGTTGGATATGATAGGAGGTTTAGTCTCTCTTCATGACAAGAGGTGCTCCTCGCCCCAGAGTTTACTGGAGTGGGCTAGGTTCACCTTATCCGATAAGGGAAAACTACAAAAATTCATGGACCCATGGTTGGAGCAAGGAAACCCTCCAAAAGGAGCCTGCAAAACAGCTGACCTCATCCTAAGTTGTCTCCAAATCACCCCTGGAGATCGCCCTTCAATGCAAGAAATTGTGGTGAGCTTAGAAGGGATTAATGCCATGGAGATGTAGTTTTTGTTAATTGTTATATATCACTACAAAAGGATAATATATATAATGATCAGGTTGATAACATCATGTTATTTTCGTAATTATAAAAGAATTCACAATAGTAGACAGTTATTAAACATTTTTCAACTCCATTTTTATGTTGAAAGATTTAAGTAAAAATTGGAATACCATTAGATATGCCGGTATCAAACTTGAGGTATGCAATGTAAGCCGATCTCCACATGCCCACATAGCAAAAATATATGATTTATGAGATTGAAATTTAATCTCTGTAATTTAAAAGACATGAGTCTAACTTTACATAGGCCAGTCAAATACCATATCTAAAAACACACGACATTTCATTTGCACAATAATAGTGAATTCCTTTATTGAAATCACTACAAGAAATCAAGTCAATAGCAACGACTTCCACTATTAGCGGCGAAACTCGATATCGTCGCCGCTATTAGTGTCGCCCTAATGCCTGTAAACCACGATCTGCATCAAAAGCTTTTGTGAAACTTTGTCTGTTCGATCTTTCTACAATCCAAGGTCCACTGTCTACAATCCAAGGTCTACTATCGACCGTTCCGTGTAAATTAATAGCAGCGACAGTGTCGCCGCTAATAATAATAATAATAATAATAATAATAATAATAATAATAATAATAATAATAATAATAATAAAATTGCGATATTTTCCCCCTTTTGCTGTCGCCGCGGTTTCCCAATTGTCGCCGCTATTGATCTAGCATCACCGTTATTAAATGTGATAAGTATTGCCTGTCGCAAATAGAACACAGCGACTACCGTTTTCCTTCTTATTTTGTTTCACTTTTGTTCCTCCCAGTTTTCCTCCAATTTTCGACTGATTCAGGAGCGAAGGCCACTATGAAGCTTCCCCAAGCTACCCCAAAGTGACATTACCGACGACCGCTAAGGAGATACTGACAGTGACACTTTCTTCTCCGAGGACTAAGATGTAATTCCTTGCTCATTTCTCTTTCTTTTTCTCTTGTAAGGCCGAGGCCAATTTTTAGTTTATAGTTGAGTTAATTGCAAAAAAATCTTTGATTTCAGTTTTTTAGTTGTTGTCACCGGATAGACTACCACCACCACCGCACGACCTTGTTGATTTCCGGCCACCATAGGTTCCTTCATATGTTAATTTTGATATTATTTGCCAAAATTTGTATATTTGTGTCTATTATGTGAAATTGTCATATATGTGTATATTTGGTATATATTTATGTATATTTCATGGTATATGTATGTGATGGTGGGTTTTCTACACATCAAATACACTCTAAACTAGGTAGTGGAAAAATCAAAAATACGATATATCTAAATGTACATGCAACCTATGGATCTATGGTTTCATGCTAATTACATCTACCCTAGAAAACAAAATACAAAGAAGAAAAACATACCACTATGAAGCTTCCCCAAGCTACCCCAAAGTGACATTACCGACGACTGCTAAGGAGATACTGACAATGACACTTTCTTCTCCGGGGACTAAGGTGTAATTCCTTGCTCATTTCTCTTTCTCTTTCTCTTGTAAGGCCGAGGCCGATTTTCAGTTTATAGTTTAGTTAATTGTAAAAAAATCTCTGATTTCAGTTTTTTTAGTTGTTGCTGTCACCGGATAAACTACCACCACCACCACACCACCTTGTTGATTTCCGGCCACCATTGTTGATTTCCGGCCACCATAGGTTCCTTCCTATGTTAATTTTGATATTATTTGCCAAAATTTGTGTATTTGTGTCTATTATGTGAAATTGTCATATATGTGTGTATATTTGGTATATATTTATGTGTATTTCATGGTATATGTATGTGATGTCGGGTTTTCTACACATCAAATACACTCTAAACTAGGTAGTGGAAAAATCAAATATACGATATATATAAATGTACATGCAACCTATGGGTCTATGGTTTCGTGGTAATTACATCTACCTTAGAAAATAAAATACAAAGAAGAAAAACATACCACTTATGTAGACCTTGATCTCCATGCTTAAGATCTTGATCCTCTACGATGTTGCTTGGATGAGAGGACCCAAACCAGAATCCCTCTAATGGTATCACACCCAATAACACCAAATAGTGGAATGAAAATAACTAGGAGAATGGTCAATTTCACAAACCCTAAGAGGGTTAGAAATCATCCCTAAGAGGGAATGGAAGAAGGGTTGGCGAAACTTCAAGCGAAGGTGCGAGGAAGAATGAAATCCCTAAGGCCCTATTTATAGCCTTGGATCCCTTCCTAGGTTTTGTATTCCTTCCCGCGTGGGATGGAATACCTAGAACAAAATTTCACTCCTTTTCCTATGTGGGATGGAGTGCTTTTTTCAAGCCTTAATTCCGTAAAGGTTCTAGAACATTCCTGATTAACCAACTATCGATTAATGAATATTCAACCATTTGATTAATTAAACTGTTAATTAATTCCCAAAATATATTTTCAATTAGTTTCTGATTAATTATTAATCATAATAATTAATAAACCAATTTCTCCTTTATTTATTCTACTTAATTTGGGTATTGAGGGCAACCCAAAAGGACCATGTTACTATTAGAAATATTACCAATAATTAATGACCTCAGACACTCTTTCCAACAATCTCCCACTTGGACAAGTCATCAACTATACAAGGTCCAATATTTCTTCAATAATCAACAGAGAGTTAGCCATCCAATGTAACTACTAACTCTTGATCTAATCAAAATTCAGCCCTTAGATAAGTGATCAACTATCCCTTCATCCTATGATATTTGTATGAACTAGAGACATTGATAATGGTCAACCACAAAATTCAAGATTATGTTTCCCGATATAGATTTGTGACGAATGCATCTAACTACTAAATTGAACACATCAATTTTAGTCGGGGCTCAACCAAGCACTTTAGATGTTAGCACCAAATCATCGAGGGACCCATAGATATCTTTTCTTCTGTTAAGGCAGAAAGAACAAATAAACTTTGACTACATAGTTTTTGTCTATTTTATCATGTCATACATGGACAAACCCTTTAAGACTACTTGTTACAGATAGCATTGGAGTAGACCAATGCATAGCAGAATCATAGAGCAAAACCCCACATGCATCTAGGTTTGAAGAATAAAAGATATAATTGTCTTAGAATTACTCGTGACTGGATCCATGAAGTAATCTATAAGCGTGGGTTGATCCAATCAACATGTTCTTAGGCTTCCTTAATGGATTTTGGTTCAACCGTTGATATGAATTCCAAGAAGTGACACTCATTTTGAAAGTTGGAAGAAGAGCGAGTTTGAACACCAGCATCGAGATTTCCAATGACTTGATTTGGAGGATGATACTTTCTCCAGATATGCAATCTCACACATTCTTGTGCAACAGATGATCCGATATCAACAATGGGGTTATGTTACTCCTCTTGAACATTTTGAATTTAAGGATGATGCTCCCCCTGAACTTCTGAACCAGATACTTCAACATCATCTTTGTTTGGAAAGTCAAAGTAGATGGAATCATCTTCGTTGTTGTTCATAATGGGATCAAATTTAACAAATTGATTTGCTGCAACTTGAAATCCATCAACATTTGAGTCGAGGGTTGGTTGACTATTCTCTCCCTAAAACTGAGAAGGTTGAAATGGATCAAAATCAAATGGAGGAAAGGTTGGGGCTGGACCAGAAACATTTTGTAACACCCCAAACTCATAAGACCTAGAAAAGAAAGGAAAAACCCTCAAGTCAAGAGGTCTACTCGTTGAATACAGAGGGATGACTCAACGAGTAGGATCGAGAAGTTTTTCGCGGGATAAGTGACCTACTCGGTGAGTAGGTAGACCGACTCGTCGAGTTGGTCTCAGGGTTTGGGAAACCTTAATTCGGGCTTATGTACCTTATTTAAGCATCTTATTCTCCTCCCATCAGCCTTATTCTCAGCCCCCAGATCCAAAACCCTAGATCTCGAAACCCTAGTGCATCCTTGAGCTTGTGAGCTTGTTTTTTACGGTTTAGTGTGTTCTTGAAGACTATAAGAAAAAGAAGGACTTAGAAGGTTCAGGGAGAAGATTGTAGATCCAGCAACACCATCTTATTTCCACCATTTTCTAGTAATCAAGTCTTCATCTTGGCTTATGGTTTCTTAGATCTCTTTATGTCCATTTTATGAGGTTTTGGTCCATGAAGTTTGACCTATGGGATTTAGACGTCCCAAGTAAAGATCCTTTCAGATATGGAGTCCCAAAAGGTGGAAAAGGCATAAAGGTGCAAACTTTATGCCAATGGAGTCCCCCATGTAAGTTTAAGAGGTTGTTATGGTCTTTTAAGCCTAGAAGGCCATGCATAGATGAAAAGGAAGAGACTTTATGTGTTCTTCTGGTGTATGTGGCCTAGATCTATGTTGATGTGCTTTAGTTTTGAATGATATGGTCTTTGGAAAAGAATTTACGCCTTGAGGAATTAGGGTTTGAGCTCAACCTAGTAGGAAAGGTATTAACGGGTAAAGTTGGAAACTTTACCCCTCTAATAATGTTTCCAGAGTGTATGAGAAGTTTGGAGTCTAGATCTGAAGTGTAAGGGCTTAATTTGTTAAGATGGCCCAAACAGAGCGAGGGACTTGGCGAGTCCAGGAAGGGACTCGACGAGTTAGAGTGATTTTTCCCCATTTTGTTCATAGTAGAACTCGGCGAGTTTGAGGACTGACTCGATGAGTTGATTCAATGAATCGCGACCATCAGTAGCCTGGGAACTCAGCGAGTCAGCGGTGACTTGATAAGTTGGTTCACAATTTCGAAGTTGTGAGCTATAGCACTCACTCAACGAGTTGAGTCAACTCAGAGCGTTGACTTTGACCGTTGACCATTGACTTTGACTTTAGCCAAGGTTGACCTAGTTAGACTTCTGAGTATATTTTGGTTTGATATTGGTAGCTCAGGGAACCGAAGGATCAGCAGTTCGGGGAATTGCCAGATGAGTTTCCTCACTGTGCAAGGTGAGTTTCCTCACTATGTGCTTGGGTCCAAGGCCACAATGTCCGCACAGTATGTTTTTGTATAGTAGGAAGACCCAGGGGATAGCCCTAGGCACTGTATGTTATATGTTCCGGATCACGATCCGATGGGCGAGGCCCGAGGAATGCTAGTGTGTTAGAGCTCCAACACAACAAGATCAAACAAGAGAATCAAAAGTATGTTTCTAGATCTGATTTTGTGTTGTTTTTACACCT